TCGTGCGCCCATGCATGTCTGGATGGTCTGGTGCTGATCTCGGAAGGTGAAGAGAACTGGATTGGTCACAGCACTGCCTGTGCTGATGCGAGGTCCTCGATGTAACGGTCAACAACTGCACTCAAGGCTGAGAAGGCTTGCGTGGGTTTGCATGTTGATGCTTCGTTGCATGGTTTTGCACTTTTGTCAGGACGCTGCTCAAATCCAGATGTTCGTGCCTCAGCACGGCCTTCGCAGAATAGGTGATGCTGCTTAGCTTTCCAGCGTAGCCGAAAATTTTTGCGGATCGAGCAAATTCGGAAAGAAGCCCATGCAGCATGGCCAAAGAGCCAGAGGGCAAGGTGCAACTGTTGGACGGTACGGAGCTGCCTTGCGAGATACTCGGTGGCATCGACAAATGCCCCTTGATTTGGGGACATGGCTTGGGGCCCACGGATCCACACAAACTCGACGCACGTGTCCAGGATTTGTCCAGGCTCAAGCACTAGCTTAATAGTCGGTGTGCATAGTGCAGCCCGCCAGGATTTGGGTCCACCTGTACGAAGATGAATGGTTCGATTTTTGTTATCCGAACTTGGCATCCCTGTTTGGAGGCTTTGGAAACATCAGTATCTTCGATCCAAAGCTATGCCGATCATCGCCTAATCCGCCAGCACGCAACAAAATGACCACGACTCGCCGCAACATTTGGCCTGGCTTGCCAGGACGGATGGGAGGTTCCACTAGGTGAGGGACGGGCCCACATAGTTTTGGATTGAGGACGGTTGCGAATTTCAATTTAGCATGAGCAGATCGGGGGCGTGTGTGTGGCGACGCCCCAGGCCCTCATATCATAAGGAAGCGGCAACTTGGGTTTGATGTTAGGCCTGCTCGAGTCGTGGACCCGGACCAAGTCTAGGTACCATGATACACTCTCTGACAGCGGCCAGGGGTCCCCATGCAGGCTTATGTTCGCAATCAGGCGCAATGAAATTAGCTGGGTTGGCACCTTTTACAGTGTGAGAGCGCGCATCCATGGATTTATTGTACTGAAGTTTTGCAGCCACGAAAGGACCAAACTGTCTGCTCTTCGTCCTTGTCGGACGACGGCTCAGTGCAAAGCCTCTTCCTGCTTCTTGGTTGCATGAGCTTCCTTCTTCTGCCTTGTATCTGGGGCCACAGTTTTGTTGGACAGCTTTTGTTGGAATCGACAGCAAACAAAGGTGTGTGTGGGGGGAAAAAAACTCCACATCTTTTTGGTTTGGTTTATGAGACTCGGCCCAGGATTGATGCTGCTGGCAGCCAGGCAGGGCCTCTCCGAAACCTTTCCTGATGCTACAGTATCCAGGTCTTTCAATGGTACCTTCACGTCTGTCATGGCTTTGGTTTGCACGGGCCTGCGTCAAGCTGTGCAAGCACACAAAGGATGTTTACTTGTCACCAACAAGAGACTCAGCTTGACCGTGTTGTTTTCTTTACCTGGCCACAGAAGCAGGGGAGGACGAGGTTTCGATCCCCAGAAAGGCTCGTGATGACGTTTGTGCATCCTGCACGCACATGGCAACGGCTGTGT